ACATATGAATATATATGCATGTATATATCATATATTTTATACAAATATATATATATATATACATATATATATATATATATATATATATATATATATATATATATAATATGAATACACAGATATACATGTATTATGTACACACACACACGCACACACACACACGCACACACACACCACACACACACACACACACACACACACACACACACACACACACATATATATATATATAATATATATATATATATATATATATATTATTTTTTTTTATTGCATATTAGATGGCATACACAGACATATCTATATTCTTCGTATACTTGTATACACATATTCATACACCACACACACACACACACACACACACACACACACACATATAATATATATATATATATATATATATATATATAAATAAATAATAATATATATATATAATACGTATAGATACATATATGTTCATACATATATCTATCTATCTATTTATCTATATATATACACACATACACATGTCAATATATATATATATATATATATATAATATATATCATTTCATTCAGAGCTAACGCCGACGGAGTCGCATTACCGTGTCCACTTTTTGTTTCCACCTTTGAGGGTCCCTCATGGCAAGCCGCCAGCAGGGACCCGGCCATATCTAGCTCTCATGACAGGTTTGATCGGTTTGCCTAAGCCACGACTTCCTAGGTCGTCCCAAGGCCTCCTCCACCCAGGGCTGTCTCAAATAGAGACGACCTGGTGGGCAAGATCATCCTAAGGAAAGTAAACTAGGTGGTTATATAACTTAACTTGGCAATTGCAGATTGTGCAGGGAACAGGTCCTGTGCGAGTCTCACGAAGCAAATTGTTGGTTAGACACATGGTCCCGCCAACAGTACCCCATGATCCAGTGCAAGGATCTATTATAGAAGGCATCAAGACATTGGTAACGGCATCTCCAAATACTCTTGCCGAGAGAGTAAACGACACCTGCTGCCAAGCTAATCCATCTGCTGACCTCCTGGTCTGACAGTGCTGAGTTATGAACTACACTACCAAGGTATGTAAAGCTCCCCATGACTTCGATGTCCTCGTCGCAAACAGGTTCTCCTTGTGATTCCACAAAGTCCTGGATCTTGGTCTTGGTCCAGGAGATCCAAGGGCATTGCTTCATTACTAAATGCATCCAGAACCACCACTAAGGTTTCCAAAGAATAGCAACATCAGCAAAGTCAAGATCTACAATGTAGATATTGGCCAGAGTTGCTCCACTTTGGTTTTGAGCAGTAGCTCTGCCTAGTATCCAGTCCATGCATGTGTGAAAAGTATTGGGTGCAAGCACAAAGCCTTACCTCACTCCTGAACTAACAGGAAAGAAGCTTAACAGGCCCCTCTACACTTTACAGCACTTTCAGTACAATATACAGGCTTGCTCTTACAGCAATAATCCTTGTTGGAATTCCTCTCAATATCTGAGCTCTCAGAGTGACTCCAGATGCAACCGTATCGAATGCCTTCATGAGGTCGTGTAGCTACAAGAGCCCACAGCCGAACTCACGACAGCGTACTGCAATGGGAAAAGCTAGATCGTAGCAACTTAGGAGTGTCATGGGTCTGATTTATGACAGCACGAAAGTTGCGATTCTATTTAAAAAACAAAAACATGTGGGGTCTGTTATTCATATTGGTCTTTTTAAATTCAGAAAGGGTGGAAATAATGATTTTAATGGTTATTATTTATCATCGAAATAGCCCTGTGGATGAGAAGAGTGGGCGATTATGTTTATATATGAATGATTCTCAAGTGGAAATGCTCGCAGTTGGAGGCAAGGAATTAAGTATATACCTAAGTAAATCTCAAAGCACTCAATGAATGAATGAAAGGTATTTTATTTAATGTGTAGTGGATGTGTTGTGTTGGTTAGGTAATGGAATTAGATCAAGGATATATATGCGTTTGAGGAAGGAGATCAAATTGTCTAAGCAGAAAGTGTAGGATTCTGTAAGGATATCTGAGATATGACGAAAGTCAGGTCTGTGGGAACGGAAAACCGCGAATATTCCAATGTAGGGATCTTAATAGATCTTAATAGTTGACCTAAAAGTAATGACAGTTACAGTGCGTTTTGGAGAATTTCAAGGGGAGGAACAAGGATTGAGATAAGGAATTAGAGGGGGGGGATAGTATCAGGAGAGGTATCAGTAAGGTGGAGGATCTGGGGAAGGGCATAGTTGTGACATAAGGGATTCACGTATGTATGCAGAAGGAGTGGGAAGGATAAAAGGATAAAGGAGAGGTTAATGTAGGTGTAGTTGGAGCTGAGAGGGATGGGTTGTGTTGGAGGTGTAGGGGGAATACGAGTAGGAAGAAATGGATATCTGAGGGGGATGGGCTGTAGGAGGCAGGGGTGTAGGGTAAATAGGAGGAGGAGGATGATATCGGGTCACTAAGTGGAGAGAGCGGGAGTTATGGAATTGGATGGTGGGTGAGGGGTTTCAGTGTCATTTTGTGTTTCAAGCAGATAGTTTTGCATATCTTCAAGAGTTTCTGCAATGGAGTTGGTTGGAGAGTTTTTTGAGGCAAAGGTTTTGTTATGAGGAAAGGAAGAGGAGACTAGAGGCGAGTGTGTTGTAGAAGGGTGGAACGTTTATCCTGTCTGCTGCAGGTAGTGAGAGGAGAGGGGAAGGTGTTTGGGCTATAGTGAGACTGGAGTGTCTGGATTTTGAGTGGCAAAAGAATTTGAAGTTGAAGTGCGGAAGTAGGTAAAGGGGAGGGTGTAACAACATCTTGGGGTGGAGGGGGGGCCCAGAGCGAGCAATGTTAAATGGCGAAGGAGCAGAGAAACCTTGTCGCTGTACTTCCTGTCTGGTTTCACGTAGAGTGAGACCATTTATGTATGAGAGTTGCCACCCGAGATTCATACTTGTAGGTAGGGATAGCCTCTTATAAGATACATTACAGGGGAACACCGCAGTTAGCATGTGCATGATTGTGCAGAGCAGTTTGGATATGACTGGGTTGGGCACAGAAGGGGAATCGGTCTGTGGAAGGATATTTTGGCAGAAAATCCAAAATGCCAACAGGTTTTACACTGACGGAGGAGGTTGGTATGGTCGAACAGGAAGGGATTGTCTACCAATGTTGGTATGAAAGGGAAGTTCATGTCTACTGAAAGTACTTTTGAAAATAATGTTGGGGTCCTTTCAGTGACCTTTTGGGAATGGAGTAACTGATATCACATCGCGGTCTGAGGCAAACTAGCAAATACTCCTCACAATTTTACTTATCTCTGGTATCTATAGAGCAGTTTCCTGGTGATGGAGGCAGTTCCGGTACAAGTATCGAGTTGAACGAGGTTCAGCAGGAATGGGGTTGCCAGTGAAATTTAATAATGCTATAGCTCGTTTCACATAAAAGTAACGAGACGGGAACGATCGGGTCGGGTACAGAAAGGGACCCTTTATCATTAGAAACTAACACCATGCTCATGGGTTGAATAGAAAACAACTTTCAGTCTGAATTTCCTGCAATGCAAGTCGTTTCTTCCATTCAGTGACTCCCCCCCCACCCCAAACAAGGAAGTGGTTCCTAAATGAAGTCTAGACCTTATGCAATGCCATTTTTGGGATAATTGGGTATGTCCCCTTGTAAAGCGAAGTTTGGAAACCCCTTAAATAAATTTGGTTGTATGTGTAATAAAGTAAGTTTTATGCTGCAAACTTATTGTGGAAGGCATTTTCAAGTTCCCCTCCCCCCCCTAAGGATTTGGCACCGATATTGAACTAAGTTTCAGTTCAGACAAGGCCATCCTCAGGAAACTAGGTGGCATCAAGTATTGATGTAGGTTCTGGTACATGCCTTTTTTTTTGGGGGGGGGGGAATTGGTTCCTAGGGTGTGCCTGATCAGCAAGGTGGTCAAATTGGATCTCCCATTTTACCCCTCCACCTTACCAAAACTAACGGTTGATGGTATAGAAAACCAATAGTCTAATTTATGCTTTGTGTTTTTTATAATAAAAATTTGGGGAACTACCTTGCCAGTCCTGATTATAGGAAATCAAATGAACCTACTGGAAGCAAGGGATCCCTGCATGATGCAGAAGCATCTGTGTTATGTTGGACTAAACTTATACTAGGCGGTTCCAACCAAATATCTATTTTTTAAAATCCTAGCTTTTCAGGAATCCATCTGGATAGAATTATAGTATTCACCTATTAACACCCGTATTATGGAAATCCCACAAGAGCAGTTCAAACTCTTGGTAGAGATATGGGAGCAAACCACAATTACTTAATCAATATCAGCCGTTAACCAACATGGGTTATGAAAAAGTCGACAAAAAGTAATTATAATTTATTCGAGACACATCGAAGTAGAGGCCTGGCCCTACTCCACTTTGTAGTTACAACAGGGTTGCCCTCACTGTAGTAACCTTACTCTTAAGTACCTGAGGAAAGAAATAGGATAGGTCAATAACGAGTAGCGAGTAACATGTACCAATCTCCCCTGTATCCCATATTTTACATCAAGGCTTTATTAATAAAAATACTAACCTGGACAGAAGCCGTCAGGAATGTCGCAGCCAAAGAAGGCACCCTTGGAAGCATTTTTGTCATGGTCCTCCACACACTGGCCAACACCTGCAGAGATCTCATCCCACCTGTAGCCTTCAGGGCAGCTGTAACGGAGCTGCCGTAACTTGCCACCCAACATGTAGCATTCAAAGTAGTTCTGCTGGTTCAGGAGGTCAGGATATCGGCCTCCTGCTTGCACACGAACTGGTACAGGCAAGGGTCTTCACATGCTCCCTTTTCCTTGTTGTACATCAAGCCACTGTTGCACTGGAAGCTCTTCTGCAGCCAGCCATTTTGAAGGCCAATGCACGAGTAGTATACACTGCAGTTAGCCGGGTTGGCAAAAGTACCAGCCTTAGTACATTGGGGCAGGCCATTTCCTGTCTCGCATTGGGCAGAGGCTTCGTCGAATACCATGCCATCTGGCATT